TAAATTAGTATTAATTGACAATTTCAAACATGTGAATAATATTCCGTTTCATTATCAAACGCATTTTTCATTGTTAAAAAATTCCCCAATCTGCCTCTCACAGCACATGAAATACGTAGATTTTACAAAAGTGACGTCGTATTCACAAGTTCATTGCGATCAGTGCTTTGTTTTTAACCAGCTACATGGAACTTAACTGACAACTAGCAACATTGATGTTTTTATTGTTGTTTATTATGCTAATACAGTTAAAAATTGCGAATTATTTCATTTCAAGGTAATATGAGAAATACATAAAAGTCTTATTTTGTGTGACGTCACAGTTAACTTTTCCCGTATAAATTAGGCCCCGCCCCCTTTTTCAAGTCTTAACAATGCTGCATACCCATGGCAATAGGAAACTGAAATTTGATTTTAATAACGCTAATATTTTTGCTTAAAATGTCTGGAAATAAAAATGTTAAATGATATCTTTTTAATTACATTGATTTCCTAAAAGTAATTGAGAATGATTAATGACATTTTTCTAAAGTTTAAAGCCATTGTAGTTGTAAGTAATTGACAAATCATCGATGTTTTCGAATGTATGTTAGTTCAACATTTTTAAAGTAATTAACCCCAACCCTGCTTTATAGAGTACATCTGAATTAAGCATGAAATAACTGACACTCATAACTGGTATACATTGTATAAGTATTATGTGCTATGATATTCATTATGATTATATAATTATATTTCCAATGTTGTTGGTGCCGAGATAAGATAACAAAATAATAAAAAAAAATGTTTCCTTCATGGAGCTATTAGTTCCTTCATATACGTAGCTTAAAAAGTAAGAATCAGGTGTCGGAATCGCCATTTTCGCCGTTTTGGGCATAGTAATACATATTGTAAGAATTATATTTTCTCAACCCTTGTTTTATGCTCACCTGAGCCGAAGGCTCAAGTGAGCTTTTCTGATTTTGATTCTCTGATTTTGATTTTCTGATTTTCTGATTTTCTGATTTTGTCCGGCGTCTGTCTGTCTGTCTGTCGGTCCGTCTGTCTAGCTGTCCGTCTCTCTGTACATTTTTCACATTTTCGACTTCTTCTCAAGAACCGCTGGGCCAATTTCAACCAAACTTACCACAAAGCATCCTTGGGTGAAGGGGATTCACGTTTGTTCAAATGAAGGGCCACGCCCTCATTCAAGGGGAGATAATCATGACTTAAAGAAAGTTTGGTTTTATGTTAAAAAAAATCTTCTCAAGCATCACTGTGCCAGGAAAGATGAAACTTATGGGGAAACACCCTCAGGTAGTGTAGATTCAAGTTTGTTCAAATCCTGACCCCCGGGGGTAGCTAGGGCAGGGCCACAATGGCCGACCAAATTTTTACATAGAAAATCTAGGAAAATTCTTTAAAAATCTTCTTCTCAAGAATAACAAAGCCATGATTAATCATATTTATATGGAAGCATCCTGAGGTAGTGTAGATTCAAGTGTCTTCAAATAATGACACCCGGGGGAAGGGCGGGGCCATAATGGCGGACCAAAGTTTTACATAGAAATATACGGGATAATTCTTTAATAATCTTCTTCTCAAGAATAACAAAGTCATAATTGATCATATTTATATGGAAGCATCCTCAGGTAGTGTAGATTCAAGTTTGTTCAAATCATGACCCCCAGGGGTAGGGCGGGGCCATAATGGCGGACCAAAGTTTTAAATAGAGAAATATTAGGGAATTCTTCAAAAATCATCTTCTCAAGTATAGCAAAACCATAACTGGTCAAAAATTTTATTTTTGGATTTAAACTTTTCAATTATAAAACCAATTTTCACATTTTCAAAGCCACAGTGTACAGGTGAGCGCTGTGGCCCATGGGCCTCTTGTTGTGCATAGAACGGCGTGTATGAAAATTATTACGCATGCAAATTGGTTGAACACATCTTGAATGAAACAACATACAACAAACAATTTTTCCATATTCAAAATATAGCAGTAAAAAAACCAGAGCTTTTCTTTCAATACCATGTTGATATCGTAGCCAGTAAGGTGTATTATATGTCTTTCACCAATCAAATATGATTAAAATTTTAACTTTGTAGTCATTTCTTATTTTCCAGTATTTCCCAAGAATTACTGGCATTGCCCATTGACCTTTCCACAAAAAAAAAATTAAATGGAACTTTTAATAATTTTTCCTTTTTTTCATTGTCGAAAATTTATTCGAAATACACAACAAAATATTAACGCTAGCTTCACTCAAGATTTTCGTATTACGTACTTTTACACCAGACTTGTGATTGTGACGTCAGATCTAGCTATCAGTCTATTTGTCCACAAAAACTTTTTGCTTGTCCCTAACTTAAAACTGAGGGAGATGGGATTTCATATTTCACAGGTGTTTTCCTTGTGACAAGACCTTTCTTTGGTTATCACAAGATTTAAAAAATCTTTAACCTTGGCAATAACTGTTAAACAGTAGGTTCTAGGACGTTCAAACTTTAATGTATAATCTTTGTTGCAAGACATTTCATCCAACAAGACTGACCTTTTGAACTTAACCTTGAAAATGTACCCACTTTCAAAAATCTTTAACATCGGCCATAACATCTGTATGGTAATGGCTTGAGCTACATACTCCACATATGTAATCCGTGTTTCAAGATCTATCATTTAATACCAACGACATTGACACTTTAACCTTGATCTTGGATTTTGATTTCCTTGAAATGTCTGTGAAATATGAAGTCTTAGAAACAAAGACCTTTTGTTTTAAACCTTGTCACTAGTAATAAAACATTTACGTTGTACGTGGGTTTTTCTTCTCCTTTACTAAAATTTGAGGATGGATAATTCGTACTCGGCAATGTTAAGGACCTATATGGAAAATGTGACATGGGCACCGTTTTAATCATACTACTTCGTTTAAAAAGTGCAACAAAGCTACTGAATACCCGTAGAAAATGTTATATAGTTCCCCAGTATAGACAAGACTAGGCTGAACACAGAACCAGTTATATCGCATGTATCAGCTGTTTGTCACGTGACTTGTATTAAAATAAAATTGTTAATCTGAATGAAGGAAATGAGGAAAGTGCAAGGGCATATTCTTGTTTTTCAAGAGAAAAATTGATACACCTTTAAAGATTTTAATTTTCCCTACACAAAAAGTGCTGGGAGCTAGTCTGTGGTGTTTGAGAGGTACTGAACACGAAAATATGCATAATAGCCAGAAATTCCCACTTCACTCAAATTCTGTTATGAATAAAAATAATGTTATGCAGACCAGGATAAGCTCCCAGCACTTTTCAAAATATACGAGGGTTGTCCCGTAAAATCGTGGACAAAGCGTTTTTCTCGAAAAGTAATGGGCGCACTAAGCTGAAAATTTCAGTAAATATTTATTCATCATATTTAAGTGCATGATAATTTTTTTGATAAAATATAGGCAAAAATAAAGATTTTATTATGCTTGCATGTGCACAAGGTATTGTCCTACGGCGCACGGTAAAAAAACAAGGTTTTATTAAAGAATACACAAGTTTGAAATCAAAATAAAAGTTTTAAATACATAAGATTTGGATTAAAATTATCCTAATTCAATTCCACAATCAATTCTGTAGTCTTTGTAAAAATTTTAAGGGCATTTGCTTAATTTTTGGCAGTTTGTCGAGCATTCGAAATGGGAAAATGGTAAACACAACACACGAAATATGGCGACGTTTTATGACGTTACGGCGCACCGGAGAACAGTTCAGTTTTATTTCGATGTTGTAATGACACCTTTAGAGACTTGAAATGCCCATAGAAGAAAAAAGATTATAAAAATATCACCATATCATAAGTATACAAATGAAATAGGAGTTTTCTTACCGAAGTTTTTTTTTTGATCGAGTCCCTGGGGAGTACAAAACATACGGACAAACGCCTAATGTAATAGCAAAAGACGCTGTTACAGTGGACCGCCGATATGAGATTTTCTATTTTTTAAATGAGGGTGAGAATATTGTCCGTAACTTACTAATAGATCTTCAGAAGATCGCATGAGGGTGCCAATTGGTTCTTCGGCTGTTTATGGAGACTAAAGAATGTGTATCAATGAAATTCCTAAATTTAAGTCGGACTCATGCATCCAACTTCATTTTCAGCAAATTAAGATAAAACGTGACGCTGTTTTAGACACTTTGACGTTATAATCCATGCGCCGTAAGGTGATACAATACATGGCATAAAATCTCATTATTTGTTTATTTATGCATATATCTATCTGAAATTTGCTGTGTATATTACTAAAATATGTACTAAATATTAGTGAAAATTTCAGAACGCAGCAATGTTTATTTTTCACACTAGACAACTTGTCCACGATTTTACGGGACAACCCTCGTATAGGAAAAATTTCTTGTGTACTGTGACGTCAGTTGTTCATTTCGATTGCGATGGAAACAAAACTTGCCACTGACTGAATATGACGTCACAATAGAGAGGCGTATATATTCAAGATTAAGACACTTTTTGTGATCAAGCAGCCACGGATAGGAGAGAGCTATATGCGGACTCCGGACCGTGGATTGAGACGATGCACATCTATAGTCATGTACAGTTTCTATTAATAGCATACGAGAAGTAACGATTTTCTCCATCATTTTTACGCCACAGTGTCAAAATAACGTCAATATGTAAGTGACTCGTGACGAAAAATGATTGTCAAAGATTAACTCTAGCAACGAATGGCTGTAAAGTTAAGGTACAACTTGGAAATTCCTTTGAAGTATTTATAATAATATAGTTTATACAAGGTTTATGCAGACAATAGACGTTTCAGACGTTCAATCATAAATTGGATTGATTGTTTTAGTAACGGGAAGGAGGTGGTTAAAAATCTGTTATGTTAATTTTCTTAATACTTTTGAGTTCGATCCAACACAGGACAATTATGAAATATGAAAATGGATTGCCAGTCAGTAACTTAAAGTAAATTAATTTACTTAGAGGTAGTTATCTTTTTCAGTGAAAATCCCTGAAGAGGTATTACAATGGGAATTAGATGCCCGAAAGCGATATCTAGAGTACTTGAAAAAGGGAAAAACACCGATATTTAGAGCACGAGCAATGATAGTTGGTTGTGCGGGAGCTGGAAAAACAACTTTATTAGAAAGACTGCAAAAGAAATCAATGAAGGACATACAAAAAATCGAGTCTACTGTGGGATTAGACGTTCACAATGATATTTTTGAAGTACTGGAAAAGGAAGGAAAACTAGAAGGTAGAAGTATACGCAAATTAATTGTCTTTATAGGTAGATTGTGAGAGTGAGAGAGAGGGGGAGAGAGAGAGTACTTGTAAATGAAACATTTGTTTTAATATTTTTCTGTAGAGACCATATAAAAAAATAAACAAGAAATCTTCAATATATTTTTAACACTTTGGCATAACCTTATATACTTCCACTAACAGTTTTTTTTGTAATTTCTAAATTTTATAAACAAGAATACATCGTATTTTACAATCGATTTAAAATTAAGCTATGAGACATATTATATAATTTTTAATATTTAATATTATATAAAGCTGTGTTAAAAATTTCAATTAAAAGTTGCTGTTTGTAAAAGCGAACCTTCGATCCATATAAAAGAAAATGTCCCAATTGATCATACTGAAAAGACAGAGGAGACAAAGCTTCTAAGTATCCTGGATTTTGGAGGACAGTGCATGTATTACGCTTGTCATCAGATCTACCTCAGCAAACGAGCATTCTACATTCTGGTAGTTGACATGTCCAAAAACTTGGAAGATATCATAGATGAGGAGCTCTGCGATCAGAAGGATACAATGTTCTCAAAATGGAGTTATAGGGGTAAGAGAAATCTACATAAATATATCATTTTATAACAACAACCTTTATTGGTCAATCTTAGTGTAACCTTTAATTCTTATTTGCGGTGAATTCAAAGAATAATGACCATACATTGTATCTGAAATATTAAAATTTCAACTACCCATACATATATTTTTTACTCTTATTATTATACTGTTCATGCATTCCAATTAAGATCCTGAAGTGGCAATTGGATATAAATTATAAAGTAACAATTATTAGAAATCTGTTAGGAAGGTGCCAAGATTTTTCATTATTTTATTATTTTTGCCTTTCCAATTTCTTTTTTTTTTGTCACATTCATTAAAGAATGAGTGCACTTAAGTACCTCATTTGGATTTTTTTTCCGCTACCCATTTCAAGCTTCCGAGGGGCATTTCAAAAGTTCTGGCAACTGTTTCATAAAAGATTAACCGTTTTACGGAAATTATTGAGTTTGACATCATTGGAAAGATCAGAAAAATATATATACATATTGTGACGTCACTTTATAATTTTTATGACGTAATAACTCCGAAAATGACATCTGAATACGGAATGTTAAGTATACTGAAAAGTCACGTTTTTATCCATATGAGTTGATTGTAAAAGTTCCACCAACGGCTTATTTGAAAAATATTTAAACGAAAATTTTAATTTGCAAAGAGGTAGAGTAGGACTATGATACTGTTTATCAGCAATTCCATTTTTCATTGTTTGGTTTGTTTACGAGCACAGTTTATGTCCGGTTTTGCTATCATAGACATTCATTTAAGATTTTTTTTTTACATGATACGGCTGGATTTTCGGTCTTTTTAGGTCACCTGAGTAAACTCAGGTGACCTATTGCTATCCGTTTTCGTCCGTCGTCGTCCGTCGTTCGTCGTCCGTCGTGTGTTAACATTTGAACATTTTCAGCTTCTTCTCTGCAACCACTGAACCAATTTCAACCAAATATGGCACAAAGCATCTATGGGTGAAGGGAAACAAAAATTGTGAATTTCATGATCCCTGCCCCCCTGGGGCCTGAGGGGTGGGGCCAAAACCACTAAAATTAATGCAATCTTTAAAAATCTTCTTCTTTACTCCTGGACATCAAGCAGTCAAACTGTTTGCATGATTGTAATCAGCATTGAGTCCTTTACCAAAATTGTGAAATTCATGGCCCTGGGGTCAGGGGTTCTAGTGCTAGGGCGGGGCTCAATAAGTATATAGTGAAAATGCATTATTTCTTTGGAAATCTTCTCTACTCCTGGGTATTAAATAAACCAACTAAGTACATAGTTATGATGAGCAAGAGTGCCTCTACCAAAATTGTGAATTTTATGGCCCCAGGGTCAGGGGTTCTGGTGTTAGGGTGGGGCTCTATTGATTATATATAGTGAAAATACATGATTTCTTTGAAAATCTTCTTCTCTGCCCCTGGGTATTAAATATACTAACTAAGAGCATAGTTATGATGAGCAAGAGTGCCTCTACCAAAATTGTGAATTTTATGGCTCCAGGGTCAAGGGTTCTGGTGTTAGGGGTGGGGCTCTATTGATTATATAGTGAAAATACATGAATTCTTTGAAAATCTTCTACTCTGCTCCTAGGTATTAAATAAACCAACTAAGTGCATAGTTATGATGAGCACGAGTGCCTCAACCAAAATTGTGAATTTTATGGCTCAAGGGTTCTGGTGTTAGGGCGGGGCTCTATAGATTATATATAGTAAAAATACATGAATTCTTTGAAAATCTTCTTCTCTGCTCCTAGGTATTAAATAAACTAACTAAGTGCATAGTTATGATGAGCAAGAGTGCTTTTACCAAAATTGTGAATTTTATGGTCCCAGGGTCAGGGTTTCTGGTGTTAGGGCAGGGCTCTATTGATTATATATTGAAAATACATGAATTCTTTGAAAATCTTCTTCTCTGCTCCTAGGAATTAAATAAACTAAGTACATAGTTATGATGAGCAAGAATGCCTCTTTTAAAATTGAATGATTATATAATGAAAATACATTAAATCTTTGAAATTTTTTTTCTTTGTCTCTGGGTATAAAGCAGATGAACTACCTTTATAGTTATGATGAGCAAGGGCCCTAATCTTGCAGAATTGTGAATTTCAAAGCCCCAGGGTCAGGGGTGGGGTGGGGGCTCTACTTATATACTGAAAATGAATTTATTGTTTGAAACCTGCTCTTTTGTATTTATAAAACATTTATTTATTTTTTGATATTAAGGGTGCCTTTTTGAAATTTGTGCAATGTGTGGACCTAGGGTCAGGGGTTTATGTCAGAGTGTTAGGGGCACTACTGGTTAGTTGGAATGCATTTTTGTTCCCCTACCCTGCATATGGGTATTCAGTAACCAAGCTAAGCAACTGCTAAGTGTATTGTTGTGATGATCAATGGTGCCTCTTTCAAAATTGTGAATGTCATATAGCATCTGGCTTAAAACATGAATCAAATTCAATAACTGGAAAATTGTTGCATAATGCTCAGGTGACCTATAAGGCCCGTGGGCCTCTTGTATATAATTCTCCATTGTTTGAAATAAAACATGTTCTGTATTAAACTGTAGTATATTAATGCAGTTTTCATCAAATATATTTTGAGTGACAGGACTCTTACCGTCTACGAATAAAATGTACTGTATCTTGTCCTCGACTTGATTCTGTTCGTATTTTTTCATATAAATTCAACTTCGGCGCCCCAAAAACTCACCACTGCTTTTGACTTTTGAATCCAAAAAATGAATATAAGTTACTCAGACATGTAAAGTCTTATCTATTTTCCATGCATTAAAATTTGCGAATATGTGGAGGTATGGTTGGGTTACGACTGTGCTGGCGCCATTTTGGATTTTACGAGAAAATATGGGGCACACTAAACTTAATTTCTCTTGAGCCTTCATCGATCCCACAAATCTGGTTAAAACACCTGAAGAATTTATGCAATCGAATTTTGTAACACGATAGGCTATTTTTCTTTGATTGTCAACTTTGTCTTTTTCTTACATTTAGGTTTCCTTTACGCAAAAGTTTGAGCGATATTCGATAAAACCATGCTGATTTTGACACTCGCTAAAACCATTTCAGAACAAGAATATCGCCAAATAAAATACCATATGATAGACTGTAGTCTTTGTAAACATTCCACCAACTGGCATTTGCGTCCGTTAACTTGCGTCCCAGTAATGAGCAAAAGTGGCCTTGAAAATTTTAATTTGATCAAATTATTTCTTTTGTTACGTCATGTTTATGGTCAGTATGCTAAACATTCTATATTCTGATGTCATTTTCGGAGTTATTACGTCAAAAAAATTATGAAGTGACGTCACTATATATATATATATATATATATATATATATATATATATATATATATATATATATATATATATATATATATATATATATATATATATATATATATATATATATATCCAAAAGAAATAAAATAAATATCTCAGTGTCCGGTAATCAATATTAAAATAAAATAAAAAGGCAACACTTGTTAAAACGTAAGCGCTTTCATTGTTTTCTTCAGACGTTTTAAAAAAATTAAACTTGAAAATTTCACAGTGTCCGGTTTTTTGCCTTTTTTATTTTAATTTTACTTATATATATATATATATATATATATATATATATATATATATATATATATATATATATATATATATATATATATATATATATATATATATATATAAATGCTTCTGAAGATTGAAAATGAAAGCGCTAAAGCTTAACTGAGGTTACTTTTTTTTTAATATATATATATATATATATATATATATATATATATATATATATATATATATATATATATATATATATATATATATAAGTTTTTACTAGTGTTTTAACTAATACAATGCCCCAACATACCTAATTATAAAAGTCACAATTTTAAGATTTATTCTTGTCTTGTGAAAATAAAATTAATATGACAAATACTTAATGAATTACAACAGAAAAAAGAAACTTGTTACATTCAACTCAAAAAAAATGCTCTAAATGGCATAAGTTTAGCTGAAAGAATAAATCTATAAAATGCAAGAAAGAACTCATAACTATTGCAAAGATCGAGTCTCAATGAAATAAATAAAGTCCCATTTTCCAAATAATATTGAATTACATGTATCTCTTCTTTTTTGGGAGAAGGGGGTGGGAGGGATCGGGCACTTTGTCCATAAAATATCCCCATAGATAAAAGTTTTGGAGTGTTAAGTAAGGTTAGTGTGGTGGCCCAATTTAATAAAGAGCTGAATGGTCCTCCAAACATTTGTTCTTAAAAGTTCAAGGTTTATGATTCAAAACATATTTCAGCTTCTAATCTACACCTGACTTACTCAATTTGTCCACAAACTCAATTATTTTACATGTGATTATCGACCTGGAACAATGCCTCTTTAATTAGTAGCATTCTATATGTGTTCATGTGTTCTTAATATTGTCTTCATTTTTTCCCTTCTCTTTGTTAATGCATCTCTTCAATTTGTTACAAAATTTAACAGATATATACAACTTCCACTGTAATATACAACTTCCACTGTATATTGCTAATAGTATGTTCTTTGCAAACTGTAAAATTTATTTTCATGCATTGCCGGAATCACAGGAACTAGTGACTTACTCTGATAAAGCAGTATCAGAATTTTATTAAATTCCACTTTAAGAATGAAATTATTTGTTTTTCAGTGATGTCAAATATGAGGTCATAATTAATTCAAATGGAAATTGGTTTTTTTCATATTGATAAATTCTTGAGCCTTTTAACATTTTTCTCTGCCCCTTAGCAAACAGTCTAAATGCATAGTTATGAAGAGCATGGGTATATCTACTAAACTTGTGAATTTCAGGGTTTCAGGGTTAGAGGTTTTAATGTTGTGACTGGATTCTATTGATAATATTGTAAATATGCATTAATGCTTTTGAAAATCTTCTCTGCTCGTGAGGCACCTTGAGACAAACAAATTTTATAATTAACTACGAACAATAGCATTGTTCTCCCGCCTTCCTCCAGGTCAATTTTCAAAAGTTAACATAGTCTAATGATTTTCAAAATTTTTATAGATATTTATATGAAATTTTATAAAACGTGACTAATTAGGGATAACAAAGAGAGATAGCTCCATAATTTTGGCAAAATTTCTGTTTTTCACTATGACACGTGATGTCATCTATGAGTTAATTTTCTTTTCTTTTATACGTCTATGGATTCTTACATTATTGTGATTTTCTCAGATGACCCTTGGACCTCTTGTTAAAAAATATACCTGACATTTTTCAGATTATCTGTTGTTTTGGTTAAAATCTGTGGATTGCTACTGTGGCCGTGAAGCCCCTGTTGTCCTTGTAGCTACACATGCAGAGGGAAAATCACAACAGGTATCTATAAAGACATTTATTGTAATTACGTGTATGAATAATGAATCATTTCATATCAAAATAAAATTAAAATTTAGGGAATGTAGTTTTTGAATGACAGTATACATGGAGAAGAAGAAACATTACATGAATTTATTATATATCTTCAAGGAAAAGGCAAATTACTACAAAAAAGTAATAGAGACCTTTCCTGCGACATCCACAATAAAAGAACACTTGTCCAGCAAAAGGTATTTTACAATATGTCTTCCGAGGAAAGGTCAATCATCTTTGGAGAATTTAACTGAATTAGAAAGATGCATTGTAGAAGTAGCAAAAACACGGAAACAGTGGGGAGAGGAGGTGCCAAAGGACTGGGCTAAATTTGAGGAATTCATTTTAGAGGAAAAAACTACAAAAATTCAAAGTCTTTTGAAACTGAAGAAATCATTTGACAAATTGTTACCTCTAACTAAGCAGGAATTCGCAGATCTCTTACATTTTTATCATGATATTGGTTTGATTATCTACTATTCATTTAGAGATAATGATATTCATGATTACATTGAACCTTATTCTGAGTCTGACGTTGTGGTTGTTGATATTCAATGGTTTGTGAATTCATTTAAGTATGTAGTGACAGATTTAGAGCAAGAAAATGTAACAGAGGTTTGGAATAAAGCTACGAAAACGGACGTTTCAGATGAAGATCAAAACATGTTCGAAGCGGCTTCAACAATAGAAGTGTTCGATGCAGCCGCAACAATAGATGAATTTAATACGTTTAAAGATACAGGAGAGATCTCCGGAAGGTTTTTAAAAGCAATCTGGGAAAACACAGGTAATACAAAAGCAGTGGAATACAAGGATGATATGATAAAATACATGGAACGTTTAGGTATAATGGCGATAGAAGAAAAGTCTGACGTATACTTTATTCCAAGCATGAACAGGATGAGAGTACCAGAGCACGTAAAATCAAAGATTCATTCACATCCCAACAAATCTCCAACTCTGTACATCAGATTTCCTGTTTTACCTGTATTTCTCTTTTACAGACTGATTGTGCTTTGTTTGAAGTCGCTTTGGAAACCTTTGATAGACGGAAGAAAATGTATATATATTGACACTGCTATGTTTTATTATCAGGAACGTGTTTTAGTTTTAGGAGTCAGTAAAAGCTACATACAGCTTATGCTGTATGATGATCAGAAACAAGGAGAATCAATGCTAGAGGCATTTAAAAACGCTAAACAAAAAATACTTAAGATGTTGTCTTCTCTAACAAAAACATTTACCAGGGACCTTTCTTATGACTTTGGATACAGCTGTACTAATACAGAATTTGGTAAAGAGCTCGGGAAAACTTTCATGGAAGAGTCCTTCTTGTTTTTTCATTGCGGAAATACGTGCCCTCTCCACGCACACGCAGATCACAATATTGAATCTTTAAAACGATTCCTGGTAAGTAATTCTTGTAATTTTCATATTTGTACAAATTTTGGCTATGCAATTATTCTATTGATAAATATTTGTATTTTATTTTTTTTCCATCTTACTGAAAAAAAATAATAATACAACCTCAAATACAATATTTAAGCTTATTACGATTTTTTTCTCAATTTCTAAGAAGTCCGAGAGGATTATGGTGATTTGTTGTCGTGAAACATAAATACCTTCATGAATTCACTTATTTTATATATATAACATTTACATGACAAACATTTTGTTCCAACAAGTTATTTTATTTTTAGGGTATAGCACAAAAAAAATCTTTAAAATTTAACTTATTTAGAAAAGCAATAAAACCTCAATAAATCAATGCATATTTTAATCACTGTATTTTTTCCCTTTATTTTCTTTAAATGTTATCACCCTCATTCTCTCAATCACCCTCACACACCCTTCTACGCACGCTCTCACTCTCTCTCACATACATGCTCACACTCCCACATACATATAAGAGCTTAAAAACTAACATAACTACCATAAATAAAGAAATCTTAATATAGAAAAACACAAAGAAATTCACTATATTAGGATACCCACTTCCGCCTTAGTGCGGGGTTGAGCTCACGACCTACGGAATTTTTTTCCTGGTAGTAAAGGAATAGCGCGCAAGGCAAGCAATAAAACTTGCTTCCGATGCCGATGGATTTCTCGAACGCTGTACTACACAACACGGTCATTGAGTTTGGAAGTGATAAACAATTATTTGGAAATTAATTCAAATAGAGGATATAAATTTTAAAGCACATTTTACAAGAATGTGTATTGCACTATTGCTTCATCGTTATCACAATGTTGCAATATCGTATTAATGGCGTGATGATGTGATAGTGAACGAATAATTAGCAATTCTGATGAGATCGACAACACCGATCGTTAATTAATTCAAAATCTACATGAGGAAGATGGGGTTAATAAAACTGTATGTTGTCTTGTTTCTTTGCGATTTTCTTACAAAGTTTTCACTTTAAAGATTTAAACATCTCATCGTTCGTAAAAGTTAATTTTTCCTTCAACTTAATTGTCCAAAAGGTTCACACGAAGCTTGATTAAGCAGTATTTCTTACATTATTACGTAAATTTGACATTCCAAAAGGCATATTTGCAATTTTGCAACAGAAATGCGACTCAGGTAAACCCGACTCAGCTGCGGTTTAAACCCGGCTGACATGATCCACGGATCAACCACTGAGCTATACTTATCTGAGCCAAAGATACACAACCAGCCATTAGAGTTTAAATCATCACAGTTCTCCGATTCGAAGTCCTTCATGAAACAAAAAACATTAAAAACGATTTGAAAAGCACACATGTCAAACGTTTTGGCGATCAGCAATGATTCTATATAATTATGTAATCGTACAACTCAGAAAATATGCTAAACATGTTATCGTGGAACTTGAAGTTTATTGGATATCTTTAATATAATATAGTAATAGTTTACCCAGTCGCTCGGGCGAAAAGTGTCGAAACAGAATAGGACAATGAGCATTCGATTTTTAAAGAAAAAAGGGTTAATTTGATTGAATTTCTACACAGGCAAAAGTGGCTCACATGATTTTCATATGAAATTCACACGAATATCATGCGAATTCTTCGCACGAAAAGGAGACGAAAAACAACTTGCATGATATTCGCATAAAAATATCATGTGATTTTTACATGATATTCGCAGGTATATGATGCGAAAAGAAAATCGCATGAAATTCATGCGAAAAAAGAACCCAGGTTTCATATAAATATCATGCGATGACAAGCATATTTTTTGTACCCTTGAAATTGATATCAAACTATTATTTTTGAGTGCCCCAAAACTCAATCCATTAATTCTATCCTTCAAATCCTTGGAAACACAATTTTTGCCTCTTAGCAGTTTCTGCAAATGATCTTTTTTCTTGGATAATTCCATGGATTTAATATCTTCTCTTTTTTCTTACTTAGTCAATTAACCCAGATACAAGAAATGAATGATTTTACAAAAAGTCACTTTCAATTTTAAAGAATCAAAACTTGTTTCTGGACTCCCTGACTAAGTAAAGACATTTGTGACATCAGCTTCTACATTGACAACTAGAAAACCATTGATCTTTTTCTATCTTCTTTATTGAGGTTCTCATCACATAAAATTTCTTTATCTTGAAGTTCTGTTGAGGTGGTGTTGTTAGTAAACACTGAAAATACAAATGGTAAACATTCTATAAGATTATATTAAAATGCAAAATGGACAATAAATTTTCTGATTTAAATATATGCTCTAAATGCCCTTAAGTAGGATTGATATTTCTTGGCCATGATCAGCTGTATGCCAAGTAAGATAATGTTCTCTTCATACTATCATATAAAAAGTTGTACTTTTTAGTAAATTTTCTATAAATTCTGCAAACTTGACCTTGCCTTATGACCTCTAGCTGTTTTGGAAATTTAATACAATGTATCAAATGATAATTATAATCAACCATTAACAGTATATTGAGATTTAGATCCTACTTTTACATTCATTAGTTATTATGTTATGGCCAAAAATTTAAAATTCTATCCCCGTGACTTTGACACTGCTTATATGAACAGCATGCAAAGTTATTTCACTGCCTCTGGTGATAGTAAAGCAGCCTTTATTTAGAATATATCTTCATGAAAGTTATTATTTTATATTTTAATTAAAAGCATATCATGATATCTATATATCAAATTACCCTATGTTAGAGTTGGGATATATAGCCCTTTAGACCTTTCAGTCACAAACACTTTTTGTCTATCTAAATGTTTCCATTATAGAATTGTGATTTAACACAGGAGGCCCGTGGGCCTTACAGGTCACCTGAGTATCATGTAACAACTGTCCAACAATTGAATTGCCGGTTTATGTTTTAAATCAAAGGCCATTAAATTCAAAATTTTGAAAGAGGCACTGTTGCTTATCATAACTATATACTTAGCTTGCTTTCTTTAGTAACTTAATACCCAGAGTTAGATCAGAGTAACAAAGAGAAAATGTATTTCCACTTTTTAACCAGTTGTGCACTCTAACCCTCAAGGAACCAATGACCCTGGGGGCACATATTTCTTAATTCTGGAAATTTTATCATAAAATTTATTTCAACATAAATGGGTGATTATTACCAAAAAGAAAATGTCAAAGCATTAATTTATTTTCAGACTATGTAATTCCACCCCAATCCCAAGTACCCTGACCCAGGGGATCTGAAACTAACCATTTGGTAAAGGCACCTTTCATCATCATTAATATGTACTTAATTAGAACACTTAATAATCAGGAGCAAAGGAAAAGGTTTTCGAGGAATTCATGCATTTTTTACTTTAATCGTTCATTAGAGCCCCGCCCTAACACCAAAACCCTGAACTTGAGTTTACTCAGGTGACCTAAAAATATGTAAATACATTTGTACTCTTTAGACCTTAAATTTAGTGACAAATAAATATGCCAGGCTGTTCAAGATATGCTGCAACAATCATGTCTTGTTGTTCCTTGGTACACGTCTCTGTGCTTTAACAATTTCCTCTTCAAGTGATTCACCAGTTTCCGCCTCCAGACTGTTCTCTGTAATATTGAACTTAAGAGTTTAGCTTACATGTTGTGTATTGTTAGAGTTTTCAGACAATTCTGAGTGAAAGTAACAAATACCTGTTCTAGGCTGTTCAAGATATGCTGTAACAAGGTGTTCATTGTTTTGTGAAGCATATTTATGACTGCTTTAACAGGATCCTCTTCAAATGATCTATCAGTTTCCACCTCTAGACTGTTCTCTGTAATATTGAACTCTGGTTTAGATGGGAAAAACTAAATATGTGCAGCTTAGACATAATTGTTAAGATTAAAGTGTCCAAATTAATTAAAATATTCATACAAATTACTTACATGTAGTCTTTTGACAAATCAGGATGATTTAGGGTTACTCTGGTACTGAAGTTTGATCTTGTGATGATTGACGTTTTAACTGTGCCTACAGAGAGACTCAAAAATGTCAGTTAAAAAACATTTTGTTCATTATCTTTATAACATATTTATTACACAAGACACAAGTTTTCTATGTATTAACAAAGTTAACTATTATTTAACTTAATTTAGTCAGAATGCGAATGGTTTTGCTATGCATTCAATAATTAACACAAGTGATATACAATGTGATAATATAATACATGTACTATATTCATATATCAATTGCTACAACTGTAACAGGTGGTGAAAAGTCAAGTTTCAAACAAGACACGAACCCAGGGCCTCTGGTGTACAGTGCCAGCACTCTACCCACTGAGCTATTGAGACCCGATATGTTGACTGACTTTCACGCACCTGTTGACCCGGTGACACAACTGTACATCTGCAACAAATATTTCCCTCTATTCTAGAACTTTCTTACCTGTTTGCATGTATCATATCAGTGCAGTATAATGGAGTACCATCTGCTTATAATTACTAGCAAATACATGTACCTGTACGTATAGAATACACATGTACAATATTTACTAAATATTTTAAAACATAGGCCTAAAATAAATATTTGTTTGTTGTAAGTTGCCTACCGTCCAATAGAAAATGCATCCGACCCAATTAATCTTTTCTAGCCATTTTTAATATTTTTTCTCAATATTTTAGGACATTAAAACTATTTTATTTTTGACTTCGTTTAATTGTTGTTTACCAAACAGCTGTGATTTTGACAAGAGATGAAGAGTGGAGCTTATTCATATTTAGTGGGGGGGCAGTCTATGAAAAGTTCTATTATTTGTTATCCAACAAAAATCTGAGAACATTAAAAAAATCCTTTTAATATTACTATAGTTACCTTCCTACCCAGTCTAAAAATAACAGGATTGGCAACTGCTTTTGAACTTGGCCATTATTATTTAGTAACCACAATAAAGAATATAGACCTACATTAGTGAGTATTAATTGTACGTGACAACTGATCATTATTGGAAAGTAACTAGGCTTAGACTCAGTGGCGGACTTAAGTTGGGGCGCACCGGGTGCGCGCCCCCCTAAAATTGTCAAAGTTAGCATAAAACATAGTTTTGTCGAGAAAATGTTTAAAATGTCTACTCGGTAGACCTCATTTTTACCCTACAAAACCTCTAGAATCCATGAACTTTGCCCTGGACCCACTTGGGGTCTCAAGGCGGCAACCCTACCCAGAAGTCTTGCCCCCCCCCCTTATCTTCAATTCCTGGATCCGCCCCTGAGACTCCTGTCTTGCCTTCTTGATGGGCCTATTATATAATGTACTACCATGATAACTAAGCTTCTTAATATCAGCATATATTTTTGAATGTACATGTACACAAGTGAAATACCTAATGGCTATAACAGCTGATATTTATATAAAAAAGACAGCTCTTTTCATGAGAACTTTACCAGGCATAATCTTTACCTACTTCTTTGACATATTTTGCCTAGGAGTTATTCCCCTTAGCCGCCATCTTGTAGGGCAAAGCAGTGAATTTTCCTCTTTGAGCAACCAATTTTAAACATACGTGCCAGAAATATATGGAGGAAAATATTTACATTCTCAAGATTATGAATTAACAGAGACTTTAACAAACGTATTTTCAAAAGAAAAATCGTGATAACTTTACCTCAGTAACCAGTATAACAAATTGAACTTGGTTGAATAATGAAGGGATCTGGGAATGTTGCCCGACAACATGGCAGCCATGGGGAATAACTCTTGCTTTTAAATTACCTCAATGGAAAACCTTCTTGAAAATTTGTAGATGTATGTATAATTCTACAGTGTTGTGTAATATGGCTTGCTGCATTTTATATTTCAGACACTCAGGTGCAACAGTATTTAAAAAAAAACAAACATTAGGCCTCTCCTAGTTCACTAAGCCTTTACAATAGTATCGTGATAATATAAGAATGCAGAGAGCCTGTGCCATGTCCATCTTTCAACACACCAGCATAACGTTATCTACCTGGATCTGTTATTTAAGTTGTGAACAGATATCCCCAAGAAAGTTATTACATCTATCTGGTATAAAAAGTAGAAAATTCAAGATGAAAATATAAACTTACAGAAAATATGCAGTCGTTCTGCTCTTTCTTGTCTGCTTTCTGAGCCGCATGATGACGTAATATTTGACGTACGGCATTCCATAGTAAAACTACCTTTGGTTCCGTAACGTAAATCTTATAACCGTTGTCATCAAAGTTCGACTTCAACACGGAAATAGATTTTCAAGATAAAAAAAACTGAAAGACGAAAATTAAAGTTATAGGGTATTTCCCGATTCTGTGACGAATACGAAACCGACAAGCCGAATAAGCCAGGTTCTACTTGCACTTCCTGTTACAGGAAAAAAAAAACGTCAGCGAAAGAACCTCGTGTGGCTTGTTCCAGACTTTCCTTTTGGCTGATTGCGCTCTAATCCTTGAAACAAAGGTAAAAATGAATGCTCTTTCAATCGTTTGCCATATTTTGTGTTTGCAATGCACTTATTTATTGATATTCAGTTTGCAACGAAAATTTTCAGAGTAAATTCGGATCTTGTTTTTAATTCAGGTTCTACATGACCGTAACACGGCAAGGTGAAGGTGAACTGAGCGACACCTATTTGAAGGCTTTACAAAGTCTTGTGTAAGTAATTCAAAAAGTTATTGTGTAAGCCTTTCTAGCTCTTTCTGATTGTTTTTCTGTTGAAAATTTCATTTTTTTTTCATCAGATGTAAACACTATTTAAAAAGTTATTTTTATTTTAACTCATACTGCGTGCATAATTTTGACACATGTGTGGAGACTTGTAAACACAAAATATTTTTGGACATAGGTCCTACTAAAGATCCATCTTCTTGGGGATTGATTTGAGGGCTATGCCAAAAATTAAAAAAAATAGATAACTGTTGCATTTGATGTTTTCACTGTTCAGGAATTCTGATCATTCTATGCAGATTTTAAAAAAAGTCATCTTTTCAGTATTATAAGTCTGTTCAATCCTTTGTCATCAAATAAGAATAAAATGTTGACAGTACGGCGACAGTATGGCGAGAACAGATATTTATTTTGTAATACATTTTAGACTGGGCTCGGCAAACTGCAAGACATTTGGTGCGTCTAGACTCTGACGTCACATGACGTCATATGTAAGTTACATATTTCCAAAAAGAAGTCTGAACAGTGATGAAAGTAAATGAAGAACCTTTCGTTTACTATTTATCTTCAATACTTATAATACATTAAATCATGGCATGTTTACTTTTAGTTGAACTTTTGCTTCTATTCTCGTTAGATTGTAGCTTTAACAAGTGATTCATTGTGGGTCCAAATTACTGCGTCAAAAAATTCTATCGAATGAATGTGCAGTAGTCCGAATTTTCTCTTTGCACAGGAGTTGCTGTAAGAGTTTGAAGTGACGAGCCATCACAAATAAAATTAGATATTTTTATTTCATTTGGTTACAATAGCAACCCAAATTTATGTACTAGGTTTATAACACACTGTTTCATATGATATCTGACACATGTCTCTATAATGGAGTAAAGGAAAGTACTAAACACAGGGTCTTTTGTTTTGCTCAAAGCATAACTTATTATACATGCAGTATCATCAAAATGAACTTAATCAAATGTTGAACAATATATGTAGAGAGACAATTTCTTTTTCTTTTTTCAATTTTCAAATTTTTAATTTTTTTAGGGCTACAGTTTTAATTTGGGACTCCTGTACTAGGAATATAATATATTTAGCAGAATTGTGCCACTGAATTAAAAGGGAACTCTTTTTTAGGTGCACATGATGCAAAGTCCTGGATGGTGTGTACGCTGTTTGTCAACATCTGAAACTCACATGTATTTCAGGGTAGGTATGTTTACTCCTTATTTTCTTTCTTAAAAGGTACATAAGGCATATTTTGTCTGATTTTAAAGTTTTGTCTCAGCATGTATTTTTTTAAATAAATATTTTATTCATGAATTATTTGATTAATCAAAGCTATATAGTAACACTACTAGTGAAATTATCTCCTTGTGTGAGCCTAAAGATATACAAATTGATAAAACATGGACCTTTCAAGTGATATCATTGTATTTATTTTATTTCATGTCATCCTAATTTAGGAATTGGTTCCAACTGACCGAAACAATTGGAATATTAGTATGGGAAGATATAATTTTGCAATAAAATTTCTTTGTAGGAAATGCTTGTCAGGACCCAAGACTGAAAAAAAGACTGAAAAACTGCCTTTAAACACAGACATTATTCACATCAATGGATAAATTAGAAACATCCGAACAATATTACATTAGAATCATCAGAGACTATCAACTGTTATCCCTCACTGTGGCAGAAACACCTAAATAAACATTGAAATGATAAATTTCTTTGTTCATTGCTTTTCTAATGATCTATGAATATCGCATAATATTTATGCGAATTTCGCACGATTTATACATGAAAAACTGATAAATTTAAATTCGCATGTATATCATGCGAAAATATGGTCACATGAAAATCGCATGAATTTCGCATAAATTTTATATGAGAACATTCGCATGAAATTTGCATGTGTGATTTTTCGCACGATTTTTGTATGATTTTTGCATGAATTTCATACGAAAAGCAAATCGCATGAAAATCATGCGAGCCACTTTTCCCTGTGTAGTCTTCCATTTCTCAATAAATAATGTTCATAATTTAAGACAAACAAAGAACTATATGCGGTATATTGCATATATTTGCCCCCACAAAAGTCAAATTTTGAAAACTTCCTGAAATGTGCTGAATTCAATAAATTGTATGAGAAATATAAATTAACAGAAAAGATTATAGTTTCAAAGCAGTGTATTCACAATTTTTGTTTTTATGACGTCACAAACTAGTCCGAATTTAGATCTTTTTCAGAAAGAGGACAAAATGGACACAATTTCAACAGTTTTAGCTTAAAAATTTATAGAGCGCAAGTTTGTTCAGGAACAATATTGACATATTTCATTGATATTATCATTCTACACATTATATGAAAATATTGATCCTGAACACAAATGCGCTCGGTGACTTTTACTCAAAATATCGACGAGATATGTACATTTTTCAGTAAAATTCATTAAAAACCTGAAATTCACGTCCTGTTTGTGACGTCATTACGTACATATGACGTCATTACTTATGAAAATATTCAGTGCTTTGAAAACAGCTTATACTCCCCTGTTTAAGAACTTAATTAAATATATCTCCATCAAAGTTGATTTGGGGGGAAATATTGGTTATTACCGAAGAAAGTTCTTTAATAATCCAGAATTCTGATTGAATATTGAATCTAAGTAAATTAAAATCAGAAACCGGCAAAAGTGTAACAAGGACCAACCTTTAGCAATGTAGAAAAAAAAAATTATTGCTTATGGATCGACAGTTCAATTACAAGAGTTGGCATACATATCGAAAACCTAAAACTTCATAAAAATTTAATTATATTTTAAAATTAAAATTTTTAATTCAAAGGATGTATTAATCAAACTGTCGTGCGAAATTCACGATAGATCAATCGTAGTTGGTCGCAGAGTTTTTTATTAAATTTTATGCCAAGATACGAAGAGATGCGTTTCGTTACGCTTTTATGCGCTATGACCATGAGATTTTCATGTGATGCGATCTCTGACGATCTGACTACAGTTCGGATAAGATGAATTACGTACCAATAGGATTATAAAGATTTAGTCGAAAAAAGACTTCGATCTGTCACGAATATCATGATCCGAATTCTCGATTAAAAAGGATCGCCCACGTTTTACAATATAATACGTTCATCGACCACTCTTGCACTAATGTACGATAGAATAACACGTTCATTGCAATGCCTTACACGATCAGGATCAAGATAGAACACGCTTTGAGCTACGATTTTTTTCCCGATAGACATATTAAAATTTTGTAATTACTTTTAAAGATTTAAAATATTTTATCCATTGAAAATTAAACAAAACATTAACAAACAATCAATAATAATGGCAGAAGCAAAGGTTGATGACAACATAGTTGTGTAACTATGGTCATGATCATATGTTATTGCTGTCAAAGTAGAGCAAAAGAAGCAGTATAACTATTTCTTATCTTTTTTTCACTGATGTTGCCTCTGATCGAACGGGTTCAGGTTCAGAAGAAGATAGGATTTCCCCTCTTTCTTTTTTAAACCTGTTTTAGGTGGCATCTTTAAAATATTTTTTCCAAAACTCAGACTTCTTTTCAATCGGGAAAGAAACGTGTTCAATTTTCCCGTTATTTTTGCAAGCTTAAGTACTCGGAATATAGCGTGATTGTCAGCAAGAAAGCGTTACCTGTAACACTCCGCATATATATCTAGGGATTTTATTGTCTTAAAGACCCCCCCCCCCCCCCTTTTGACACACACACACACCGTATTTGCGAAGATAGAATTTTAACAAAGTTAAATTGATTAAACCCCCCTTTTCAACAGGCATGTTACAATGTAGTCAAAGACAGAAGATTAAGTGGTAGTACTTGAAAAAAAAAATGGATATGATTCTCCATATATATATATATATATATATATATATATTTAAAAAAATGTTGTTTTTTTTTTATTTGTGACTGAGGTGTTTTTTTTTCATTTTTGTAATTCTTTTTAAAAAAAAAAATGTTTGCCTTATATATTTATCTTTTCCAAAGAAACCTTCCCTATTTGTAAAGTAATATTCCGCTATCAAATGTTTATGAAATGGTGGGTAAAACATTGCATTATAATACTTTTTTGTTGTTCTTATTTAGCAAAATGTTGTTCTTTTTCTAAATCATGTCATTCCTGTTCGATAAAATATGATTCCTATTTGATTTGTTGTTATTCTTGTGCGGAAAAAGAATGTTATTTCTGTTCGAGAATTCACCACCTTTAAATTGTCATTCTATTCGAAGATATGTGAATCCTATCTGATACTTTTTCATTTCTATTCGATAATAAAACGATTTATATTCAATAATCACTTTAAATATGTTGTTCGTATTTAATTGAGTTTACAACCAGTTCTAGTCTTGACATATTTCCCAAAACACAATTATTGAAAAAGAGGAAGAAAAACATCGCATAGGATAGATAAAATTATACAATAAGATAAAACTTTTATCGATTAGGAATGGTATTTTTTCGATAGAAATGGATGCTAGTATACTCAGAAAAGTTTTCATGTGTGACCTCTTTTTTCCTACGCAGCACTGTTAAGGCCTACTATGAGAAATCAACGGAAAATAGACGTGCAAAAAAGGGGGACCTTTTTAAAATTGAATTTATTTTAATTAGCCTGTTCTGTTATCACAGAAGTTAAATACTTATGGAAATAGCACAGTTTAACCCACTCTGTACTGTATGAAGTTTGGTCCCATCGATGGACAGTCACGTGATGAATGCATAGTTCGAGTACTGAATGTAGGTTATGAACAAATTTCAATATCGCAAGGGCATAGATGTACCCTAGTGGAAATTAAAAATTCAAGCTATTGATTATTTCTGCATACTTTGTAGATTCTGAAAAGTGCTGCTGCTTTGAATAGAATTCGCGTTTTAATAGATAAATTTTCAGGTACATATAAACAAATGTCGAAATGTGTTTGACTTTTACCAAATATTTTGTGTATTTATAAAATCACGCCGTCGATTTAAAGAAAGCAGCAGCACCTTTCAAGTTAAGAAAAATATCCTTTATCTTCATTAAAAAAATGGTTAAGATCTATTAAGTGTATGCCCTTGTGAAAATACGATTTTATTAGGCATCTCGATGTAAAATATTCGTAGCATGTACATAAAAACACGACATAATTAATAAAATACATTCTCTTGATAGTTAATTAATAATCAAACTAAACAAAGGATATGCATTGGTATTAATCGACTATTTAAAACCTGTAAATGATATTCCGTTTAATAAACCCCCCCACACATTTTCCTTGTTAAAAATTCCCCAATCTGCCTCTCACTGCACATGAAATACGTCATTTATACCAAAATGACGTCATGTTTACAAGTTCATCGCGATTAGTGCTTTGTCTATAACCAGCTACATGGGATTTAACTAGCAAGTTTTTTTTAAATGCATTGATAAGTTTTATTGTTGTTTATTATGCCAATACAGTTAAAAGTTGCAAACTATTTTATTTTCAGGTATAATGAGAAATACATGAAAGTCATATTTTTGTGTGACGTCACAGTAAACTTTTCCCGTATAAATTAGGCCCTGCCCCCTTATTCAAGCCTTAACAATGCTGCATAGACGGTATTTTTCCTCTCCTCACAAATATTACAAGCCGATACATATATTGTAGTCCTGAGTATACTGACGCATTTTATGCCAGTAATAAGCTGAATTTCTTATTTTCGCTAATGTTTTTGATATTCCAATATGTCCAACCACTTTAGCACCGTGCAAGTGCCAAAACGCAATATGGTACATATTTCGTGGTAAGCTTATTTTTATTTCTTCCTTATTGTCTAAAATCCAAGAAATACACATCACACCGTGGTAAAAA